AAGTCTCAAATAACAACACAAGACGCATCACCCTTGACCACATGACACACGTCGTGAGTCACCGACGGAAACAATTACTGACATTACGATTATTAGTAATTACGGATTGTGTTACATCATAAATAATATAGGAACAAATCATCTTCCGCTGTTCACGGTACTCGATATTGAATTTATAGAGTATTATTACAATTATATGTTTCATTTTATGTCAAAGGTTTACAAAGCAAGTTTTTAACCTAGAAATAGTTGAACTGATAATTTTTTAACATCCTTGTAAACATTTTGTACACGTATTGATTCTGTTTTGTGTCAAAATAATTCATCCTCTCTACCTTTAACTGTATCATTTGTAATGCGCTCCACAGAAAATACCTATCATATACCATCCGATTCGGGAATGAGCTGCACCCCGCGGAGTTTTCCGACGGCTTAACGTTTCTTCAAAGGAAATTTAAAATGAATCCTCATCTGTATCATTGAGATTACCAATGGTTACGAAAGACGATGACCATTTCAATTAAGATGGACTGTAATCTTTGTTGGCTATCAAAGGCAATCCACGGAAAATTTCACTGAATCGTTTTAACAGTTAGTTACGATGAAAACTGTAATTTGTTGTTACGTGAGTCGTAGACATAATTAATGCACTTAATAATTACTTTTAATAAATGTATCTTTTTTATTCGATTGGTTTTGTTAATTTTGAGTATGTTTCAATGATATTATGTACACATATGGACTTATTGTTATCTGAAATAAAATAAATCATTCATTCATTCATTCATTAAAAATATTTGTACCAATTAATCTCCCATCTTTTTATAGTCATCATATTATTTCTAATGCTTCGAATACTCCTCAGTTTTTGAGGAAAGAACATAAATATTTTTTCTTGTTTGATTTAAAATTAGGCAAAGTTTATTATTGAAGGCTAGACTCTTTAATCTTTTTTTGTCACATTACGAAGTCTCATCGTCAATTTTGGTACAAGAGCGGGTTTGTTTGGCGACCTAACAGGCTCACGGTCTACATGACGGTAAGCGGTCGTGATAAGTGCAAAATAGCGTAATGTGCCGCCGGGCGCTTTAAACCGTGACCAGATAATGAATATTCTACTTTAGAATTCGTGTGCCGCCCACATAATCTAAAAAATCTAGTAATAACTCATTCAAACTATCACAGAATTGATACCAAACGAACATCTAAGCTCAATAAATGTCTTTTTCGAAAACAAATCTTAAAGTAAATTTAACACCCCAATCCAGAACGCAACAAGCCGAAATACATCGCTCACAATCCTGCCCGTCTTGCATCTCTTTCATACGTGCGCGGAAATATAGGTGTCCCACTCTTTAACCGGTTTACCGTGCTCCCTTACAAGTGGCAGTCAGGATAACATTGATAAGACTGAATTAAAATAATATTTATCGAAATACGTACATACGTATTGTGTGTTTTGTTAGCGTTTACTTAAATAAATAACGAATGTTTATAGCTATCACGTATGTGGCAGTTATTTACACGTGTTTGAGGAGTAGGATAATTACCCGTAATACCGTGAAATTGTCTCTTTGACGTCTTCTCTGAAGAAATGTGGTGGTTTGCACAATGTTGTTTTTATAGACTCAGGCTACATTTTAATGCTAATAATAATTAAGACAGTGAATTTATCTGTCTTTAATCAGCGGGTCAGTCGATTTAAGTAGGTATTTTCATTTAATATTATAGTAATTTATGTTTATTTTTAAGGGTCGATTCGACCAAACAAGAGTAAATCTTATTCTTAGAATAACTCGTCAGTTAATCGAGAGTAAATCAATTTTACGTTTTACCAACTACAATTCTAAGAATAGTGAGCCTATTCGGGAATTGTTACTATACCGCCGTTTCGCACGGAATAACGCAGCTATTCCTAGAATAAAGTAATGGCGTCTGTCAGTCCAACATCTGATTTCTGTCATTTCATAAATATTTATTCTGTTTTAATTTCAAGTCAACGCAATGCACTAAATGATTATTAATAGTCTGAATGCAACGTTTAAACGAAAAAAGATAAAACCACACGACAAAACTTGACAATTCCCTCAAACAAACAAGAAATAANTCTCTCCAACCTTGTCTTTTAAGGTAGAACTGTGATTTGTATTATTTCACAAATAATCCGACTGCGTCATTGCAGAAGTAAGTAGGCAGTACGTCACTACGCGGGCTTGTTACGCCTCCTAATACTAGTAGTAGTAGTACTAGGTAAACACAGGAATTACGCGGAAAATTAGGTATTAAATAAGGCAATGCCGAAGACACATTTATTAGTATGTTATTACCGGTCAAGTTATCCCGTCAATTTTAATTACAATTTCAATGGAAGAACTCATCATTATCATTCTCCTGCCCTTCTCCCAGTTACCTGGGGTCGGCGCAACAAGTTTTCTCCTTCTATACTCCTCTATCATAAACCATTTCCTCGTTCACTCCCCTCTTACACATATTGTCTTTCACGCAATTCATCCATTTTTTCTTAGGTCTACCTCTTTCTCTTCCTGCACTGTTCAGAACTATCACTAATAAAAAAGATAGTAGCCCTAACAAGTAAATATTGAATTTATTCAATACGTCTATAACACCAGAAGTAACAGCGGCCTTTGTTAAAAGTAGAAGGAGCACGAATAATGTATTTTCTATATAAAATTATTTTTATGATAAATATTTTGGTAATATACATGATTTTCTGTCCCATAACTCAACTATTAACAACTCAATTCTACTAAATAGAAGTGTATATTCGGGATGTTTTAGTGTATGAATATAAATAAATAATTGTAGTCTAGGTAATAACTGTGGTAGGCAGTGGTTTGGCTCTGCCCCTGACATGGTAGGCAGCGGCTTGGCTCTGCCCCTAGCATTACTGAAGTACATGGGCGACGGTAACGACGCGCCACCAGGGGAGCCGTACGATCGTCTGCCTAAAAGGGCAATAAAAAATAAAAAAATCTTGTAATCTGAACACTATAGGTACTCGTAATGTTGTCACAAGCTAAAGCCTCGATAAAAATGGCAATAGAGAGTATCCACATTTATCTGTCATTGCTATTTTTCCCTTGTGCGATGCATTTCGAAGTTGAGACTGCTTGTAAATCTTCGTACGTAGCTTGCATTGTAATTCCAATTGTATTAAATGGATTATATCGACCGATCACTGTCGTTTGTACGCGTCTACAAGTTTCGACTTTTAAAGTGTATACAGAGCTCGTGTTAGGAGATTTTAGGGTTTTTTATTTCGTTAGATTGTAGGTCTGTAAGAGTACTTCCATCATACTGTCTATTTGAATTCCAAAGGGTGAAGCAGCCTTTACGCAATACAAATTGGGTCTAATTAAGATTCTTTAGATTATTAACATGTCACGGCTACTGGCAGTGTCAGNTTGTGTTTAAATTTGTTTTAGTATTGAGTGTCCCTTGGCATTTATACTATTCGTTAACAAAGATGCCACCAAAGCATAATAGTGTTTTAAATCGACGGCCGACAAACATAATTTTTGATTTTTTTTTAAAAAGAAAAAGAAGAAGGCGTAAAAGATGTTGACAGTTTTATTTAGAGTTGCTAACGATCTGGTGTATCGCAACGCACAGTACAGCGGATCGCAACTGAAGGCAGTGTTCGGGCTTACTTTCGAATTAATTTAATTACGTTATTTTTACCGCTTTCTGTCTTAATTTATTGTTTTTTTATTACCTCTCTTTAATTTATTACGTTATTTTTATAGCTTTCTCTCTCATAGTGTTTTGATATTCATTTTATTTGTACTTGGTCCCTGTATATGGAAATTTTAATTCGTATTTTGATTTAAAAAATGAATGCTAATAACACTTTTTTTTACAAGTGTACATGCGTGAATGTTGACCTGCGGCTATATTCAGACTCGCCAAGTTACGTCGGTCGTACTGTACTAGACAACAGAGAGAGAGAGGCTTGACAACGCTATCTGCTGAAATAACACGTCATTACGGATCCTCCTGATCCATTAACCGTGCTTTTAGGCACCACAAGCACCGGTCACCGTCCTCGTCGAACCCGTCGCTTGCGACGAAGGGCTCGACGAGCGAACTAACCCATAGACACAACCCACTGAGTTTCTCGCCGGATCTTCTCAGTGGGTCGCGTTTCCGATCCGGTGGTAGATTCTGCGAAGCACTGCTCTTGCTAGGGTCAGTGTTAGCAACACTCCGGTTGAGCCCCGCGAGCTCACCTACAAACGTTAGGGCGAAGCTGAAATAGCCTCTCAAGGCTATCAGCATAGGCAGGAAAAAAAAAAAACTTCAGAGGTGTCAAGGGACACTCGGATGGAACGAAGTTCCTTTCGATTAATTAGTGAAGGAATTGTATTTTTTTTTTTAAGTTATGATAATAAATTACGGCATTATGAAGAAGAAAAAAACAATACTATGAACTAAATTACTATTGTTGAAACGCTATCTCGAGAAACTACTCATTACGCGGACCAATCGGATACGAGCAATGTCACGCGATAAGCGCCTACACGTTGATTGGTCAGAATGACGGATCTAAAAAGTGTCGAGACAACTTTTCGTAAGAATTTTTTCCGTCTAGCCCCCTTTCACAACGCGCGATAAGGAACTTCGTTCCAAAAAAAAGGCTGAAATAGCTTTAGTGTTATTGTGTTTTTAAAACAGTTACTCTCAATTATGAAAAATAGTATTATTATTCGCCAATAGATGTCGGGAAGAGTCATAAAGTTGATTATTGAAAACACGAATAAAACAACATTTTCTGAAAATAAAACGTAGCTAGATCGATTTATCGCCCCCGAAATCCCCTGTATACAAAATTTTATAAATATCGTTGGAGCCGTTTCCGAGATTCAGATTATATATATACAAGGTGATCGATTGAGACTATTAAAGTAACTGAGATGCGTGCAGCCTTAGGCTCCTAATGTCAAGATAATATGTTTCCACACCAGGGTGGGTTGTAACGAGGAATAAGTTTCCCGTTAGTGCAGTGAAGTTTCCCGTGAAGTCTCACCGAACATTCCGGCGATTCCGACGCGGGTGAGCTCCACGCTGCAGTCGATGTCGTTGGAGTTGCTGCAATACATGGGTCGGTGGCCGAACAGTATTATCCAGGGCCGCTTTGACCTGAACAAAAATAAAAAAATTAAGATTTGTATTGTGTGACGTTTTTACTGACTGCCGTTCCAGAGGAAGCAAGCTCACGGCTCGCTCGATATGAAGCGGTTACCGTAGTTCTTACTTTCTAGAAATATCACTTCTAAGGGATGATAAAATAGAGAATGAGCGGTTGTCTCACAGTTCGCCATTATCAAAGTGTAAAGTAAGAAATGGGTGGTGATCCAGGGCCGGGTGGAAGGCAGGAGATCACGCGGACGCTCACCGACCCGCTGGACTGACCTAATAAAGAAGGCAACTGAGTCCACTATGGTCGAATGTACTCGAAACGCTTCGAACCGCCAGACCTGGAAGCGCATTGCCTGGAGGGCGGTCGTCGGTAGCATGGGCGATCTAACAGGTCCTCCTGCATATACAGCATCAGCGCAACCACGACCACTCTGACAAGAGTGTCCGACTGAGAAGAAAGTACGAAATTCATTAGACTGTATCTAGAAACAATTTTGTATCAGTACATCCTACTGTACGCAAGCTCGACTCGGAGCCAGTGTACCCAACTCGCCTGTTTTCAGGGGTGTTCGCTTCAGCCAGATCCTCCTTTAGCCAATCGTACTGGTTGACGATCAACTTGAGCCCGTACTCGGTGAAGTAGTACACCTCGGTCGATACGGACACGAAGTGCACGGGGCCCAGGTCGAAGCTGTAGTACAGGTTCGAGTCCGGGCCGGGCATCGAGAAGCGGTTCACGTAGTTGCTGAAGTTGCTGTGAACATAGGTAAGTTTATTTGAGTCAATTAACCAACAATACACTATATTTCGACGAGCTCACGGCCCATCTGATGTTAAGTGGTTACTGGAGCCCATAAACATCTACAACGTAAGTGCCGACACCTACCTTGAGATATGGGTTCGAAGGTCTCAGTTTTAACAGTGCAACGCCGCCCTTCAAACCGAAACGCATTACTGCTTCACGGCAGAAATAGTCAGGGCGGTGGTACCTATCCGCGCGGACTCACAAGAGGTCCTACCACCAGTCAATTTCGAATATTTTAGGAAGTTGTACACTTTCAATGCGAAAAGGCGATATGAGTAATCACTGACTATTTCTCCTCATGGTTTCCCGGGCAAGTCATGTAAGGCACAGTGGCGGCCAGCGGCTGGATCTGTCTCATGAACTCGTCACCGACCCGAGCGTCCTCAGTGTCCATGTCGTACGCGAAGTCGCCCACGTGGAGGATCACATCGAAGTGGTCCCGTTCGGCTTCATCTTGCAAGTATGACAGGGACTGGAATGTATCGTAAATACCAGTACATTAAGATCTCATACCCGATCCTGTGGACCGAATGGTAAACAGTCGACATCGCCCTAAACACGTCATTACGGATCCTCCCGATCCATTAACGGTGTTTTTAGGTACGACAAGCACCTGTCACCGTCCTCGCCGTACCCGTCGCTTGCGACGACGGGCTCTACGAGTAAATTAACACACAAACACAGCCCACTGAGTTTCTCGTCGGATCTTCTCAGTTGATCGCGTTTCCGATCCGGTGCTAGATTCTGCGAAGCACTGCTCTTGCTAGGCTCAGATTTAGCAACAATCCGGTTTGAGCTCATTTACTAGCTGGGTGAATCTAGAATAACCCCTTGAGATTACTAGAATAGGTAAGAAAAAAAACAAAGTGTAATTTTGAATTAAACTTCTCTACAAATTTAATTTCTTAGAGCAGAATGTAAAGGTCGTTCACCTCAGAGCCTAAGTTTGTTTTTAATTGTCTCACTCAAGATAACATTTTATTTTTGTTTTAGTAAACTAATAACAAGTTTCCTGTTTTTTATACATAATAAAAAAAAGTAAGATTAATTTAGAATTAGATAAAAATTGAATTTTCTTACGTGAGCATTTTTATTGCCCATATCACCGTATATAGCGGCCCGCAATAACCAGTCTTCGCCTCGCGGAGGAGTCTTGAAGGAAAACAGCTCAGACCATCCGTATACAGAACCAACATGGTAAACTGCATAAACAATATTCATAATAGTATAATTTAGGTTATCGTGAGACGAATAAAAAAAGATTTTTATTTCATTATATATTATTTTATTCTCTTTTTTTTATTGTATAACTGAGTGGAGGTGCTCAGTCACGACCAGTGTGCTTAGTGCGAGTTTGTTAACGTTCTCGATAGCCTAAAAGTTAACTCAAATTCACTCAAGTTAACTCAGTTGGAACGTTTAACTATGTTTGCCGGTAGGAGCGCTGCTCCAACTCCATACAAATTTGAGTTAAAGTTTACGCTGTCGAGAACGTTAAAAAACTCGCACTAAGCACACTGATGTTATGTGGTTATCAGTGCCCATATGGATCACAACGTGAATTACTGTACCCATCTTGAGGCATGATGTCTAATTTTTTTATGAAGGAATTACTTGGACATTACTGGTGACCTGAAAGCCTTTCCAGTTTCACCAGGACAGGTGGGCGAGCAAAGGCTTAGCCAGGAGAGAAATGAGGTCTACATTTTAAATTTAATATAGTAGTACTAGTACAAATAGTCTTATGTTCTAAATATTTAATGTAATAAAAATAGGATGCATGGAGTGGAAAAACTACATTTTAAAGCATCCTAAGTCATCCAGTCCATTTCTACAAAGTGAACAACTTTTTTATTTGAAAATACTTTGACCACAAAACGGATGCATTCACGTCGGTTTTGCGAAATATGTCAATTTTTCAATTTATAATGTTCTCCCAATAACTGTTTAAAATCAAGGAGTCCATCTCTCCAGTTATTCATGTAAAAAAATATTTAGGTTATTTCACTGACCGTATCTAGTATTAAACTTCAAGTCCTTTAGCAGAACAGTATGGATCCATTGGGAACGTTTCTCTTTACCACCATCAGTGAACAAAGTAGCTGAACCTGTAGCTTCCTTTTCCATAATACCTTCTCCATATTCCACAGTGGACTCCTGAGTGTCGTTGAAAGTGGACCATGTTATTTTGATGTCATTGGTTTTCTCTGAAATAAAAATAACATTTCAATGACAAATTATAACATATTTGACATAGCTAGTTGCAACATGTGGATTTACAACGACCTTTTTTTTTTATTGCCCTTGTAGGCAGACGAGCATAAGGCCCACCTGATGGTGAGTGGTTACCGTCGCCCATGGACTTCAGCAATGCGAGGGGCAGAGCCAAGCCGCTGCCTACCGCTAAAACCTAAGTATAAATAGCCATATGTACAATTAAAAATTAATTATATATGTCGGCTTAGTAATAGCTTAATAAATTATATATGTAACCTAGTTAACTAAGATAGAAACTGTAACTTGTTTGATGTTACGCATGTAAGCAATTGTATAAGACAGTATTCAAGGGAATTCACGACTAAGCTACTACCCACTTTTCTATTGTAGATAAGCAATTCAAGCACCCAACAAAATGTTAACGGACATCGGCCACTAGATAGCTTCGCTTCGATTAGTTTCTCATTGGTCCTATAGATGGCATCGTATATTTTGTTTTTAATGAAGGATTTTGTAAATTTTCAGAAACCACAAATTTATAAAATTTAATCAATTTGTCTATAACAAATAAAGACTTGTAGGATTTTTTATTTTTTTATTTTCTGTGTTTAGTTATACAATAATTAAATGCCTCCATTTTAACAACATATAAGTTTAGGGGCATCCGCTACAAGATGTCGCTAGTTTCCATACAAAAAATATTTGTCCTAAAGCATCGCAGTTTCAGGGCCCTGGCGGAGTTCTCTATTGTTTTTGTTCTACACATACAATTCAAATTAATTGGAAAAGTAAGTCTTTATTGCTGTCACTATGAAAGGCAATGACAACAATGAATAGCATGACGTCACATCAGTCCATCTAATGGAGCCCATCATATTATATATGTCTAGAAAACAAATAATAAATTGTTCATTTATAGAGTTGAGATATTGATCTGCTTTCTTATGAAGTAGCTCAATTGGGAATATATTGTGCTGAAAATTTGTTAAGCTTACTGTGATTTAAAAAAATGTTATTTATGAATTAAGTGATTAGAATTTTTAAACTACTTTCTTTCTTCAATATACATTATTTTTATACTTAATCCCATTTAAATCGATTCATTTAAAATAAAAAACTGTGATAACCCAATTGGATGATAGTAAAGTCAACAGTACATTGTCCTCAAAACTTTACAGAAAAATAATATATTAATTAGTAACAAAGGTTAATTGTCCAGTACATATTCTTATCAGTTTAGCTTATTTACTCATAGCTCAGAATAAATAACAGTGTTTATCAGCAGTGGACATATATAAAACATATTATTACATGATATGTAAATGCAGGCTGCATGTTTATTGAAACAATTCTAATGATTTTATTTTATATTTAGTTATGAATCATATAACTACAAACACATGAATACAAACATACTTTTTATTGCTTCAGTGGCTGGACAAGCTCACGCGGAGCCCATAGACATCTACAACATAAACGCCGCCTTGCCTTGCCTTACCTTGCCACTTACCATGATATATTGGTTCTGAGTTATCTGTTTTTACAGTACATTGGCTGCCCCACCCTTCAAACCGAAACGCATTACTGCTTCACGACAGAAATAGACAGTGGTGGTGGTACCTACCCGTGTGGACTCACAAGGCGTGATACCAACAGTAATTACGCAAATTATAATTTTGCAGGTTTGATTTTTATTACACAATGTTATTCTTTCACCGTGGAAGTCAGTCGTGAACATTTGTTAAGTACGTACTTGCCTGAGGGATTCAAAGACCGGTGCATCGCAAGATACAAATGCACTGGATGTCTTATCCTTTAGACCACGATGACTTTTAAATATTAATGCATATCAATGACGTAAGTTAGCAATTAATAATTTCAAACTTCATAGTTAAACTACAAAGGGATTTACATAAACAATTAAAGTCTTAATTTTATTGTATTGATGGGTATGAGTGAAGTGGTCCCTAAAGCCTATTAATACCACAATGGAATGCTACTCTGTGCTAGCACACATAATGTAGATATAATATAATATAATATAATAAGGTAGACTGTTAGAGAATGCCTATGGCATTAAGTCCGCCTTTATACTTTCTAGTATAAGAAGTTATAAATAAATAAGTAAATAATGGGTTTTTATTTCATTTAACTGCACACTTGAATAGACATAAGGATAGCTATTTTAACCTACACTGTCCTACACTGCTTTATTGGAAAGTGGTAGTATCTCAATATCTCAACCTCCAATCAACACTTCCCCTCTGGTTAGAGCCCCATGAGCTCACCTCCTCACTCAATGAATCTAGTATGATCCCTCAAGGTCACTAGAATATAAATATAATAAAAATAATATATAAATAATTCAAATGCTTATTATCCAGAAGTTTATTTACCTAGAAGGTGAAGGTGTTTTTCCTTCATTTACATGTGGGTTTCCTTTTTGTTAGTTAGTTCGCAAAATAAGTGCTAACTTTATAAAAACTGTATCATTATGAAATAATGGTCAGGTGTAAGTGGCCAAATAAACAATTTTACTGTTTTAGACAAAAAACATCACTCTTTAGAATGATTATTCAGTCAATTCGATTCTAAGACAAAGCCTGATCAGCCCACTTGCATAAAATTTTAAAACTTCAACAAAGTCATGTGTAGTTAATACTTTATTACTTTTGTCACATAATAATTGTAGTTTTACAGTTCACAATAATCCCTAATAATACATCATAATTGCTTAAGTATGAATCGCTTTTAGTAGAGAACGAATTCATATAGACATTAAATTTAATAATGAAAAAATAATATAATAATTTGGTTACAGAATCTTATTGTGATTGTACCGGCACCAGTAGATAATTTAAATGAGGTGAGTCAAGACCTCCACAACTTTTCGTTAACAGATTTAAAAATAAATAGAACACAAAGCAGAAAATTTCACAAAAAATCTTAATAGCCCTTACCTCCAAATGCTATATGAATCTGTTCCGGCTGACAATACGGACAGTCGTAGGTTACAGCGCCTTGATTCAGTATAGAAGCTAATGAAAAGCTGAATAACATAAATAAGAAGAATAGTTCCATTTTGTTTGCTTAATTTTATTTAAAATAAACTTTTATTACAGGAGTGCATATGTGTCCAATAACTACTCTTTAAATCGCCGTTACGCTTTACGCGTTTAGATTACAAGTAATTGTTATGCACTGTTTATTTCAGATCTATTGCGATTCACCGAACGAACTGATAAGAGTAAAACTGCTCAATAGGTTTAAACTTTAAACAATCCTAGAGTTTTGCAGGATTACAAACAAAAACGTTTGTTTACCATTGCGAAAAGTAAGGGAACATATTCCATACAGCCAAGTTTATTGTGATAATAGTCAAAGCTGTTTGTCGTACGAAATGAAGTCGATTAGGGAAAAGTAATGAAGTATTTTTTTCACTAGAGACACAGAGAATTCACTAAGACTTCTTACTGCCGTTTAACTGATACTAATTGATTAGATAACCATATTTTCATTATTATTGATTGTTAGCGTACGTGCACAACATACACATACGGATATCCCAATACGTCCAATTAAAAGGTTAATTGAAAATTGAACTAACTTTGAAGTGATTTGCTTTTGACTTGATCGCACTTGGTATACAAATTGCAACTTCATTCGTTTTCCAAAATGAGTACTTTAACGGGCTCTACGTCCCCCCCAAACAGCTAGTATCTTCAAGTCAGAAAGTTCAGTCATACATTATTTATTTGATTTTTCTATGCATTTTATCGGTCTGCCCACCCCAGACCGCAATGGTGCCGAGAGGCAATCTGATCACACATTGTCTATGATTTAAATACCACCGAAAACTCGCCCGGTCCGCAGCTAGCGATCGCAGAAATATACATTTACAACGTAGGTGATTTATTTTATTCCATTTACATCGATTTTTTTTTCTAAGCGCTTCCTTAACATTATGTATAGGTACCGTAAAATGGGGCGATTAGGGATTGAGAGGCGAATCGGGAAAAAACCGGGAAAATCTTTCGACGCTCAATATTAGTTTTATATTCGTTGCAAAATCTTTCATTTTTAGTAGTTTAATAGTAGAATGTTGGAAGTTCACAAAACAACTCTGAATATAGCATTGTTTTTGGGAATATTGGGGACGTCTTAGGTACAGATAACAACGAAAAAGGGGTCAATTGGGATGAGAATACGTGAAATGGAAACGACCTAAGCATAAATAGGTACAGGTTTGTAGGGTTGTCTATTTAGTTATAACAATATTTTTTAAATTTGTTGGTAAAAATCTGGTTTATTCATGATGTTTTTGTCTAGAACTTTTATTCAAAATTATCAATGTGTTATTTTATTGTTTGGTAAATATTTATATTATTAGTTACGTATTGTTTTCTATTTTTAGATAATGCCTCGCGTGTACGTATCAAAGAGTGCAAAGCCTTATAAGAGATATGATCCCTTAATATAAAAAACAGCAATAGAAGCCTTTGAAATTGGGAATAAGTCTTTAGTTGAAATAGCTAAGCAATTTAATATAAGTAAGTCGATTTTGCACAGACATCTAACAATAACAATGAAATCTCAAGGTGGACAAAAATGTCTAAGTAATACGTAGTAAAATATTTAATATTTGTTCAGAGTGGGGATATTCATCTTTTTTTTTTTTTATTGCTTAGATGGATGGACGAGCTCACAGCCCACCTGGTGTTAAGTGGTTACTGGAGCCCATAGACATCTACAACGTAAATGCGCCACCCACCTCGAGATATAAGTTCTAAGGTCTCAGTATAGTTACAACAGCTACCCCACACTTCGAACTGAAACGCATTACTGCTTCACGGCGGAAATAGGCGGGGTGGTGGTACCTACCCGTGCGGAATCACAAGAGGTCCTACCACCAGTACTCTCATCTGATTAATCCATGGAATAACCGACACACCTAATCTCTTAACCCAGATAAAAATATCAGCCCCTAAGTACTTACCAAGAACGAAGAAATATAAACCGTTTATAAGAAAGCTTACTCTCCTTTGGGACTACAATAATGTCCACGGTAGCATGGTCTCCGTCAATGTTCATTCGGAGTTGTCCGATTACGCTGAACTAATTTTAAGTGATGAAATATATGTTTTTTTTAATTGTATCACAACTTACAGGACAAATCTGTCGCGGAGCATTTCCCAAGTAAATATAAATTAATCATAAGTAAATAAATGTGATCAAGTTGATGATCACTTTGTTGGTGCAACTAAATAAATAAATTAATTAAAATCAAGTAGTGGCAACCCTAGCAAATTTCTCATTTCGTCCCAATTAACCGCAATTTTCGGGTAAATAGGGATTACACCTATTTTTGCTTTTTTTGCTTAAACTGGAATACTAGATGCATAGTTCTAAATTGGACAACAAAAATGGCCCCAAGACTCAATCATTTCGATCCTGATATAGCATTATATACATCAACAACTACCTTAAAATTGGTCATAAAGTTGGAATTTGTCCCTAATCGCCCCATTTTACGGTACTTGTTTTACTAAAAGTTAATATTTTGTGTACTCTATAATATTTCTTGTTTTTTTTTTGGTACAGAAGGGAGGCGAACCTACCGTTCACCTAATTAATTGTGAGGGTTTAGAGACACCATCGCTCTTGCAAGTCGGCATTACCACTTACACAACAAAGTTGCTGCCGCTTGCTGCTGGGGTTAAGAAATCGTCGTGAGCACGACGACGAAGCAGATTTCCTTCATAGTAAAATTTTGGTATTCATTAAAAATAACATTAGAAAAAATAAATTTAATCACAGTAATAAAATTCCCCTTAAATCTACCCAAAACGACAGTTTATGGTATGGCATAGGAAAACAAAGAAGTTAATATTTACATTACCTAAATACATGCTGTGACATTAAGATTATTTATAAAATTCACTAATGTTGCTCACAATCTTATTACTAATATAAAAATAAATTTGTACTTCAGAAGTTCAAAAAGCAAAGCAAAACGTAACAGGAGAGCTAACGTACAATTCAAAAGGCACTTAGAGACGTTTCGTTAGAACAAGTTACTAGTTTCACCAATACTATGAGCACGTTTGTCTTTCGACCTTCCCAAACTTAATTCACCGTCACTTTTCAAAGGTAATATACCACCTGGCTGCAAATCTGAACTATATTTTGTAGAAACAGACGAAGAACTAGACTCAGAACTTATTGATCTATTCAGCGCACGTATTTTTTTTTTCAGGTTCATTTTTATTTCACCTACGCTACTCAATTCCGACGAGGAATTATCTGCGTCAGCTGAGCTAGAACTGACTAAGATTTTTCTGAACGTTTTAGACGTAGCATCAGTTCCAGTTCTTTTAGTACAAGCGTCTAGATTAGATAGAACTTCTCGTGTTGTCTGAGGTAATCGAAGATTGAATCTTGGCGAGGATAGATTAATTGAAATTCCTAGATCATCATTTTCTAAGTCAGCGCTCGCTTCGCTGTTGTTGACATCAAACAGTAAAGGACTAGTTTGTTTATCGACTGCCAATGACAAAGGAAATGGTGAGGTGGTCCTTGTTTTGGTTCTTCTTGGTGATGTCATCACACTTTTAACACGCGCAGGCGATGTTTGTGTATTCTTCTGCGACGCTGCTACATTTTTTCTAATATTTTCATTTCTATCTTTTGAAGTAGAAGGTTTTGTAATTTTTTCTTCTAATATATCACCGTATTCTTCGATTATGAATTTCTTTATAAAGTCTTTTTCTAATTCCAGCATTTTCTCAACTTCCTTTCTGGGGTCGATTGACATCCATAGATCGTTACGTATAGGTTGAAGGTTTTGTCTCTCATTTGTAGGTGATGTTTGAGTTTCTTTTGGAATTATTTTATTTGATGAATCACTTTGGGTGCCGGTGTCCTGTGTATCTACGTTGTGAACAAATTCGAACACATCAACTGAGTCTTTGAATGACAAGTTCGACGCTTTTATGTACGTTCTATTTTGTATTTTGGACGTACTAGGCTTATTGTGATCAGAAGTATTGTCTTCGTTATTTGGTTGGTAGTTATTTGAATTCAATTTGTTATCAGAGGTGTCTTTGACTTCAAGGTGTTCAATATTGTTATAGCTTTCTTCTGAAATTTGTTCCTTTTGGTCTGTATCATCTTCAAAGTCGTCGATATAACTGTCACTCTTATAGCTCACACTATCTTCATTAACAGTTTTAGGTTTGACTCCATTATCTTCATCTTTCTGTATAGTTTTTGATAACGTCTCACTGATTGTCCTTTCAATATCGACAACTTCTTGCATTAAATTTTCATCTGAAGTTGTGAATGTTCTCGAAATAATTTCTTGTTTATTTTTCCTTGGACTATTGTCCCGACTACTTAAAATTCTGTCTATAATAGGACTTAACGGTACATTCTTATTTGAAATATCACCTATTTCCTTTTCTATGTCACTCACTCGAACTCCTCCTAGCGTTAATCGCGAGTAAGGTATATATTCTGTGTTGTTTAAGATAGGTTTTGTTACATTTTTCTTATCAGGCGATGCCTTTTTCTTATTAATTTTATATTTAGACGAAGGTTTGTCGTTTTTGAAAACGTGTCCCCCGTAAACCCTGTTTAGTTTTCTTTTCCATTCTTCAAGATCCGCATAACAACGTTTCTCCGAATCTCTTTTTACTGTTTTCTTGTGAGTTTGAATTACTCGATTTGTACTTTTAGGTGAAATATTAATTGGATGCTTCCTTAATCTAGTTTTGACTTCTAAATTCAAATTATTCGATGACTCACTGCTTTCGCAAGTTGACATTTTAGATACTTTTCTTATTAAGGGCTTAGGTTGGGTAGAATGTGATTGTTCAATAGGCTGCTTATTCAAATCTATATGTTTTACTAAAATCACAGTTGAGTTGCCCTTATTAGTAGGGATTGCAAAAGTTTCGTTATTCTCNTTCCTTAATCTAGTTTTGACTTCTAAATTCAAATTATTCGATGACTCACTGCTTTCGCAAGTTGACATTTTAGATACTTTTCTTATTAAGGGCTTAGGTTGGGTAGAATGTGATTGTTCAATAGGCTGCTTATTCAAATCTATATGTTTTACTAAAATCACAGTTGAGTTGCCCTTATTAGTAGGGATTGCAAAAGTTTCGTTATTCTCAGGTAAAATACTTAAATTGAAAACTTTTTCCAGTTTTAGCTCGCTTCTTATATTAATGTTTGGCATTTTTTGTAACTGTAAATTTTTTTG